TGCCCAAATATTTACTAATTCAGAGAGTTAGACAGAATTTGACTTCCCAAAGTTAGAGATTAATTCTGCTTTCATATCTGACTTAGTATAAATCTAGGAAGTCTCCCTTTTTAGAGGGAGTGCTTAGAGATTATTTCTACTCTCATATCTGGGCTTATATAAATTATGAAAAGACATTTTTCCTACGGGAAGCGCTGCCAAAATTTTCTAAGTTTAGAGGAGATAGATTATATTTATACAAATGATTCAGACGATCCACCCAGAATAGGGGAGACTTTGTAGTAGGTCTACCTTCAGCTTAAGCACTGACTTAAAAGTAGACTTAGGTTTAGCTTATAAGGAAGTTTTGAGTGAGGATGTATTATGGAGTTGTATTCTCCATACACTTATGATCTTAGCTTGGGGATTGGTCTGCCGTGTGTTACAGGTCCTTTTGATCTTTTGATCCAAGGTCAGGGCTAGATCCAGCTTGATCCCTTGAGTATCACTTACTGTTATCACTTATAACAGGTCGGTTGTCGATTCGTCGGTCTATAACTTAATTTCAACTCTCCCTCTATACTCAACCTAAAAGGCTTTAGCCCTGGTGATTTCGTTGTTTTATTAAGGTTTTACCCGGACTTTTATTGAATGACCATTTGACAAAGGTGTTGAGTATTTAATTAAGGTTGGTTGGACAGGAGGTTTTGGGGCTTGCATGGCTGAAGCAAAGGGGTATGAATGTCGATGGTGGTTGGGGTTGACTCCGTGTAGTGTGTGGGCTGTTCATTTGGTTTGTTGATGTGATGGCAGGTATGTGCTGTGAATCGGATTCTAGATTTGGTTGCCTGCGATCACACATATACGTATTATCGTGAGAGACCCCAGTGAGACCATAAAAAAAAAATGATCGTCACATATTTAACTCTTATATATGTATGCATGGGTATACTTGGGATGAATGTTTCCGTGGGTTGAAGAGCCCCCACATTGGAGCCCACTCAGAAGCTGAGACTGAGGGACTTAGGGGAGGTCTCTCCTTTTATTCTTGTCTCCTGCTTTTTGATGATTTTCTTAGTCGGACGTTTGGTCCTGGGCTAGGATTCGAGGTCCCTGTACATGATATCCCAAGCCCTAGGCTCTGCAGGGGAAGGGTTTTCCCTCGCGAAGAGCGTATTTGATTTGCCTACCGTGACACTCAGGTCGAGAGCCTGAGGTGCCTCGGCGGCTGCACGACTATTCCTTCAGTCGTGCAATGTCGTGAAGGGTTAGGCCCTCACGACACTTCAAGTCTGATACTTGAGTGTCATAAGCGGTACTCGAATCCACGAGGGACCGCTTGATTATGGGCACTACATAGTACGCCATCGTTGCGACTGATTGTATACTCCTGCATTGCGAGTCGATATGAATATGCCCTGCGTCCGCGCGGTTTTATACTAAGTTCAGCGCGCGATGGTTATCCGATTTCCGCATTGGAAAGTTATGGGTTGGCTACGGAGGGGCTAGGAGCGTTGTCGCGTCGTTGGTATTGTGTCGTTTTGTACATATATTGTTTTATGTGTATGAGTGTTCGTAAAGTGGAGTGCGCGTGGTGTGTGGGATGCGTCCTAGTCGACCGACGATGAGTCGCGCTTGGGACCTTAGCCCCCCCAAGATGCCGGTTCGCGTGCGGGTCCGATAGAGGCGTATTACCGCGCGTACCCCCTATGCTACAGCGAACGAGAAACGCCCTCGGCTGATCCACCTCTGCGATTGCAACTGATTAGCTTTCGTGCTGTGGACTGGTAGCTCGACGGGGATACGCCCACCGAAGGGAGGTGACAGCTCCCGTGAGGTGTAGGTAAGTCGTGCCTCGCGTAGGCCCTATCCTATCGTAGGGGCTCGCGAGAGGTATGGTTGGCGCACCCGGCCAGAGCGGCTTGTGGAAGCTCCATGTATATTGCGACGAAGGGTTCTAAAAACCAACTCCTGCGTGACGCGGCCGGGAGGGTCCCGCGCTGCCCCCGTGCGGTGCCGGACCGATGCGCCCGACAGGTGGCACCGTTGCCAGGATAACGGAAAGGCTACCGTTGTCCTTGGTGGAACGACATCCGGGTATGAGAAGTGAATAAGAAAAGGCATAAAGGAGTGATGAGAAGGTAATGAAGGAATATATGAATAGAGGAAGTATGAGGGACGATCGTGTTAACAACGGGTAAAGTAAGTACTAGGGATTAGGTAGGACGAATGGAATAGACCGGTCAAGGTATAATGTTGAATAAGGGGATGTACTTGTTTTTCTTTTGCCAGGGAACTTAAAAAGAAAAGGTTGTCAAGATGCCTGAGACTGGCGGCGCATCAGTTGTTCCCAAGAAGGGCCTGACACTTGATGACCTCATCGCGGCCATCGACCGAAATGAAAGGAACCCGAGCAACATCCCAAAGGTCGATACTTTCCATTTCTGTGGGGAGAGAGTCTCAGAATGGCTAGAGCGGGTGGAACAAGCTTTGGTCGGGCGGCCGAATGTTGTAAAGTTTCAACGCATCCTTTAGTATGTCCTCCACAACCACCATCAGGAGGTGAAGAAAGTCATAGATGCGGCTCAAGGTAGCTGGGAGAGGTTCAAGGAGGGGATGCAGAGGAAATACCGCCTGGGAGACGGGTTGTTGACTGCCACGGACCTTGAAGCGATGAACAAAGAGAATTTTACGACTATAGGGACCTTTGTTCAAAAATTTAAGAAGAGGGCGTGGAAGGTCCATGGGATTTCGGAGGAAGCACAGTGCGCCATCTTCCTGGGGCTACTCACAGCATCGGAGGCTGTCGAATTGACGAGACATGGAGGAGGTAGCACTAAGCTCACCTGGGCCACCATTGACAGAGGGGTGGAAGTTGGGTGGTTGGACCACGTGGAACAACGTCAGGTACGCGTGCAAAGGCAGAAGAGAAAGGAAAGAGATGCGGCCGTTTCTGGGAACCCGAGGGTAACAAGGATTGTAACAGACGTATTGGCACAGCTAGGGTATGCGACAGAGTCAGTGGTGCAAAGAAGGGTGGTGACGGCTGTCAAAGTAAAAGGAAAAGAGCCAGTGATAGAGGAGGCTGGCCAGGAGGAGCTCTGGGAAGAGGAAGAGTCAGTGTCGCAACACCTGACGAAGGTCCAGCGCAAAGTGCGTAATTTGGCGCAGGGCGGACAGGGATCAGGAAAAACACAGGCGCCTCAAACCCAGGCAGCAGCCCCTTTAACTGTGGCGGCTCCATCATCTAGTACGGGCCCCTCGCAAGGCGGGGCGCCCTCCTATGGATAGTGGCCCTGGCCGGTGATCAACGCAATTGTGCCATGGGGAAGTACGCCGCCAGTAGCCGGACCGCAAACGAGTATGCCACCACCCATCTACCCCGCGGCCCAGGCCCAACCTATGGCCCCACCACCGTCACCTGATCCTAGTTCACAGGGCAGTGTTGTAGGGGGTGGGAACCAGGGGCAGGGCAATCAAGGCAATGGAGGGAGGGGTGGAGGAAAGGGGCGAGGCAGGAATGGCGGCGGAAGAGGAAGGTAATGGAATGGCCAAGGCCAGGGGAACCAAGGCCAAGGGAGTCAAGGTCAGGGGTACCAAGGCCAAGGGAGTCAGGGCCAGGG